TCTTTTGCAGAAGTCAGTATCTTGTCTGTCCCTCAAGTCTAAGACATTGCAGCCTTACTGAAGATGGGAAGTTTATAGACTTGTATGCGAGATTTGGAATTCATATGAAAGGGAGCAATGATAAATAAATGCCTACTTACACTAAAATGGTTTTTAAATCTCTAAAACAAGAGGAGAGTCAGCATGAGGTAGTGGTTTGAGCATTAAAGACTATAACTTTAGAGACCAAGATTTGGATTCCCACTCAGCCATGGAAACCCAATGCCCTTAGGCAGGCATGTAGCCGGGAGGGGAGGGGCTTGAGGGGCTTCAGCCCCCCCCCCACCCGAAATTCTCATGGTGGTTCGCGAAAAGGCCTTACTGGTGCATTATTTAAACTGTTATGTTTATTCATATCATGATCTGATCACCATACTCAATATATCCCATATGCATGGGGGTATTGGGGTAATGATACAAAAGGTTTGCTAGGCTAGACCCTCTTTCACTCAAACTCAGCCCCCCCTGAAACTCGCCCCAAACCCCCCCTAAAAAAAATTCAGCCCCCCCCCCCCGAAACGAAATCCTGGCTACGGGCCTGCCCTTAGGCAAATTGTACTTTCTCAACTTCAGAAGAAGGCAAAGGCAACCTCTCTAAATCTTACCAGGAAATCCTCATGACAAGGTCACCTTATGGTTGTTATTTCTGGATACCCTACATTTCAATGTAGTATAGATTGTAAGGTAAAGGTAAAGGTTTCCCCTGACATTAAGTCCAGTTATGTCCGATTCTGGTGCTCATCTCCATTTCTAAGCCGAAAAGCCGGTGTTGTCCGTAGATATCTCCTAGGTCATGTGGAGGGCATGACTACATGGGATGCTGTTACCTTCCCACAGAAGTGGTACCTATTGATCTACCCACATTTTGCATGTTTGGCAGGAGCTGAGGCTAACAGCGGGAGCTCACCCCACTTACTGGATTCAAACCAGCTAAACTTTCAGTCAGCATGTTCAGTAGCTCAGCAGATTAATCTGCTGCACCACCAGGGACCTCAACATTGATTATATATGACATTTTAATGTGATGACTTAAGCAGTCTTTATCAATTGAGGGAGGAAGGCAGCTCAACCATATGTTTTAGTGCTTGATCATTAATACATTCAGACTGATAATGCCCAAGGAAGCTCAACTATTCAGGACTCCTGGTAGTCCATTTTAACTGGATCATCCTCAGGACCCCTTGCTAGTCTTAGAGGAAGGTTCAATCCCCATCTTCCCCTTCTCTGGGGTCCATGCCTTGTCTTTCCATGAAGCAAGTAGGCAATATGTTTGGATGAGTAATGTATTCATGATTTTTATCCTATGCTACTACTTCTATGTATATTGATTCCATTGGGAAAGCCTTTTAAAAGTTTATTTCCAACAACTGGCCAATTGTTGACATGCAGTTGTGTAGCATTCATTCAGTGACCCAAGTTATATATATGATCCACTTGGCCTGGAATCCTCTACTCTTAAAGATGCATTTCCATCCCCACGGCCCCTGGCTGTCTCCTTTTCAGCAGCACTGCTTCTGTTCCTTATGTGTGCATTCACAAACAAAATCCTTTCAGTTGCATTAAGGATCGTTGTCTTATGGAATTTATATTTTTATTCAGGGTCCGTCAGCTCCAGCTCCTGCCAACCTAACAGTTCGAAAATATGCGAATTTGAATAGATAAATAGGTACTGCTTTGGCGGGAAAAGGCAAAGAGACGCTCCAAGCAATCTTGCTAGCCACACAACCAGGAGGTGACAACGCAGGCTCCTCAGCTTGAAAATGAACAATGCACTTCTCAAGAGCCAGAGGTGAGCACTGCCTCCAGAAGCTGGAAATGAGAGGAGAAGCCTCTGCCTTTCTTTGTGTGTCTCATTGTACATGATCGTAAAGGCATTGAATGTTTGCCTATGTATATAAATGCTATAATCCGTGCTGAGTTGGTGGGATATAAATAAGGTGTATTATTATTATTATTATTATTATTATTATTATTATTATCATTATTATTATTATTATTCAAAGTCCAGCTGGGAAATCAACAAAATATGCTACTACATTTCACAACAGATGCAAATGTATTTAACAAGAAAGGTGGGGATGGCAACCACTACAGAGCTGGTCTTTTCAGCAATAGGTGCATTAGGAAATACCACTAGTGAGAAACCATAACCATTTAGAAAGGTTAGAAAATCACCTCTAAGTTGAAGGAAGCTAAACCATGTACTTTTCCAATAAAAGAAAGTTTATCTTGCAAGAACACCAATTTTCAAAGACGAGTTAATTAATTTAAATGATACCAGTAACTTCAAGACGATTGTGCCAAGCTCTAACTTTAAGTGCCATTTGGATTTTGTGATTGGTTCTGTTTTAATATTGTTATGCTGATTGTTTTAATTGTATTTTTTATGAATTTATGGCATTGAATGGTTGCCAGTCTGTAACCCACCCTGAGTCGTCTTAGGGCTGAGAAAGGCGGGCTATATATGCCGTAAATAAATAATAATAAATAATTCTGCCCTACATTACATTATCATTTTGAGACCAGTTGGCCCAAGTGACCTTTGAACTAGACAGTGGGGAAACCATGTCTGAACCACAGAATTATGCCAGTTGCCAACAGAAGGAGGACTCGGATGTCATGAATGTGCAAGCTCTGAAAGAACTAGTAACATTCACTGAATGCATCCAACACTTGAAGGAGGAGGTCACACATGGGGAAAAAACTTTTGACTGACATATCTCAGCCAGCCAAAATGATGAAAAACTGTTGAATACCAACTCCACATGTTAAGAATGATAACAAACCAATTGACTCATGTGCTCTTCCTGTTTTAAGGAAGAGCCCCAACTTGAGAACCAAGGTATTGTTAACCGTTAGCTGAGGTCCTATCCTCATTCGTATAACAATAACTTTCAAGTTTCAAAAATCATTAGCATTGTCTGTGTTTTTTAATTCCCTTTTTATAGTAAAGGTAAAAGTTTTCCCCTGACATTAAGTCCAGTCGTGTCCGACTCTGGGGGTTGGTGCTCATCACCATTTCTAAGCCAAAGAGCCGGCGTTGTCTGTAGACACCTCCAAGGTCATGTGGCTGGCATGACTGCATGGAGCGCCGTTACCTACCCACCAGAGCAGTACCTATTGATCTACACACATTTACATGTTTTCGAACTGTTGAAAGCCTTAGAAATGTCTCATACAAGTGATGGCAAACTACCATCTAGTGGAGCTATTTAGTATTGCAAATAGACCTCTACGAGTCTAGTTTTAAACCCATTAAAATGGGAAAGCATCATGTTGTTTTATACGGAACGCTTTGCTCTTTCAATGCATATTCTGAGATCGAAGCGCAGGTACATTGTGTGCATGTTGCATGTACGCTCCCTATTCAGTGACACCTTTAACATTCATCCAGGAAGACCAAAACATTAATAGTGTATGGAAATATTTAAAAGACACACAAGAAAAGCCTTCCTAAACCATACTGAAACACCAGCTTTGTTTCTTTGGTAGCAAATCAAGATGTCCATGTTGAAGCCTGCATTGTTCCCAGTGACTGATAAGTCAGGCTTTGTTAATCTCTGTCCCTAAAACGCAGGACATAGCCAAAATGACTAGTTACCACTGGCAGCTTTATCCTCCATTAATTGGACTGATCACTTTTAACAGCCATCTAAATTGATGGCTATGTATTATAGCAGCAAATTCCACAGTTTCACTTTGTTTGTTTTAAGAAATAATTCTAATTGTCTTTTCTTAATTTTCTACTATTCAGTATCAGTGGAGGACTCTGCATGTTGTGTTTCTGGATACACCAGACTATATTTCTTATTCTATAAGTTCTAGAATTTCACTGGCTATTTTAGAATCATAGAGTTGGAAGAGACCTCATGGGCCATCCAGTCCAACCCCCTGCATAGAAGCAGGAAAATTGCATTCAAAGCACCCTGGCAGATGGCCATCCAGCCTCTGTTTAAAAGCTTCCAAAGAAGGAGGCTCCGCCACACTCCAGGGCAGAGAGTTCCACTGCTGAACAGCTCTCAGAGTTAGAAAGTTCTTCTTAATGTTCAGGTGGAATCTACTTTGCTGTAGTTTGAAGCCATTGTTCCATGTCCTAGTCTCCAGGGCAGCAGAAAACAAGTTGCTCCCTCCTTCCTATGACTTCCCCTCACATATTTATCCATGGCAATCATGTCTCCTCACAGCCTTCTTTTCTGCAGACTAAACATGCCTTGCTCTTTAAGGCACTCCTCATAGGGCTTGTTGTCCAGACCCTTGATCATTTTAGTTGCCCTTCTCTGGATACATTCCAACTTGTCAACATCTACTTTAAATTGTGGTGCCCAAAATTGGACACAGTATTCCAGGTGTGTTCTGACCAAGGGATAATAGAGGGCTGGGAAATTATGGGAGCTATAATTTAACTTTCAAATATTTAAATTTTCAAAGCTCAGAGTGAACTGAAGGTACATCAGAAAGTATCAGAAAATGGATTTGTCTTTCTTACCTATGGAGAAAGAATGAAACTTAACAGGTGATAAATTTACCATATGGCAATATTTCCATCTCATCTTCCCACAGTGATGTGAGCACATTCCTTTTTGGACAAATTAAATTAATATTTCAGCATATTAGTGATGTCGTGATGAACTCTATAAAACTTATCTTCAAATCATAGCTCAATGCGAATGCACGCAAAACTTTTACTTTAGGAGAATGAGAAGGGAACGTCCTAACAGTGATAATTCCTTTGAGTTATTCTACAAACAATCATACTCTGTGTTTCTTATACTGTACAGTCACTTAGCATCACAAGTTACATTTCCCTGTCAATTGTCAAAGATTAAACGTTTCTGTTATGTGACTGTCCCTTAATGAAGTCAGATCATATTTAATTGTGACATGAATGGTAAATATTTTCAAGATACACTTTTTGAATGTGCCATTCTTTTTGTATCCACATATTTAACTTCTAAATTCAATTACAATGTACAAAACAGTTTATTGTGAGGTTGTAAATTAGACACTGTATGAAAATAACATTCCCTGCTGACATACAACAAAAGTGTATATTTTTTGGCAAACTGTCACATTTTTATTGGACACAGGTTGTGTAGTTCCTTTGGGGAATGGCAAAAGGTAGATTTGATTAGTTTCAGAGCATTGCTTCTTAAGAAAACATTCCTGCTGCACCAAGAAAGAAAAGTGCTATTTTTTAAAATGGGTGAGCCAAGGCAATTCAACTTAAAACCGCACAACAGGAAATGCCAGCTACATCTTCAGGTCCACCTTCAGGGGCTGATTTTGCTCTGTTTTTCCTGTTCAATAGCTGCCAAGGAAACAACAGAAACATCATTTGCAAACATTTGTCATCCATTCAGCACTTTTACATACAGGCCCTGAGCAGATAAATGCATTTATTTGCTGGGAATCCAGTTGACCTTTCCCCAGCAACTATGACTACAGAGATGGCTATGACTTCTCCCTCTGATACAGCCAAGTTCATTCCAGTCTCTCTCTCTCTATAACCATATGAGGAAGGATGTGGAAGGATGGGTGATTTGTTTTTGTAATTTTAAATATACATATAATATGTATTGGGGATGGCATTTAATTTTGTTGTACAATGTACAATGACAATAAAGTTATCAGGGGACGTGGTGGCACAATGGGTTACACGGTTGAGCTGCTAAACTTGGTGGTTCGAATCCATGGGACGGGGTGAGCTCCCGCTGTTAGCCCCAGTTCCTGCCAACCTAGCAGTTTGAAAACATGCAAATGTGAATGGGAAGGTAAACAGCGCTCCATGCAGTCATGCCAGCCACATGACCTAGAAAGTGTTTATGGACAACACAGGCTATTCGGCTTAGAAATTGAGATGAGCACCACCCCCCAGAGCCGGAGATGAATATTAATTTTACCTTTATCTGTGTATCTGTATTTCACTATTTCAAGGCATTGAATGTTTGCCTTGTGTCTGTATATGCTGGAATCCGCTCTGAATCCAATTAGGGAGATAGGGCGGAATACAAATAAAGTCTGATTATTATTCTACTCTATTCTATTATTCACGATATTCCTGGCTCTGGTTATTGAGTTTTGCTTTGATTCATTTAAATGATTTTTATACTCTACTGTTTTTAATTGTTTAATTAGATTTTTTATATGTGTGTTATGTCTTTAAATGTATTTTAGTTGATTAACTGTTGTTGCTGATCTTGGTCCTGATTGTAAGCTGCCCTGAGTCCCTTTGGGGAGATGGTGGCAGGATATAAAAATAAAGTTGTTGTTGTTGTTGTTGTTGTTGTTATATTCATATATATGTATTCTTGGCTTTACTAAGGAATTTGGATGTAGAAAATTGTCTTCTCTGCCTTTAGCATAATCCTGTTTTGTGTCTGGATTAAACCCAACACAAGCCTGTCCTTAAAAAAAGTAAGCACACATATTTGTCCGTTACATTGATGTTCCACCCATCTGCCCTCCAGAAGTGTACATGGCTCCCCACATTGTATAGATTTATCCCCACAACAGCATTGTGAGGCAGTTGAAGCTGAAATAGTGTGATGGACTCAGTGGGTTTCAAGGCTGAGTGCAACCTGGGTCTCTCAAGGCCTTGGCCAGCACGCTCAACAGTGTGTTATAGTGACTCTCTTATTGTCAAATACTGTACAACAGTTTGGAGTTCAAGAGTTCATGCAGAAGAGTAGGTAATTTATACTGTCTATTAGATAGATTCTACTCTAAGCAAACAGCTTTAAACGCACATTGACTATAATCTAGAAGTTATGTGAGCAGCTGACTGTTATGCTTTTAAGTGTATTTTAAGGGGTCCCTGGTTATCTTTGCAAAATATAATTAAATAAGTGTTTTTACTTTTTTCCTTATGAAATAGGGAGAATATTAATATGATTTATACTACACTTGCTAAATAATAATAATAAACTTTATTTATACCCCGCCACTATCTCCCATAGGGGCTTGGGGTAGCTTACAAAATAACACACAGTGGTGCCATGTAACATATAACATGCAATACAACAACATATAAAATTATTAACACATTAGATAAAACAGAACATATAAAATTAACAAAAGCAAGCTCTATTCAATAGAATTAATAAAATATGGCTGTAGCCATGATTAAAAGAGCCATGCTCTAAACTCCTTCACAGCAGTCCCCCGGCACCTGATATTTGCAGAAATATTTGCAGGCACTGGCAGCATCCTAGTTCATTCAATGCTGTAGCAGTTATAAATGCAGTCCAGCAGAGGGCAACACTCAGCAATTTTTAAAGCAATTTTCTGCTGGTATTTTAAAACCCTCAATATTGTAGCCTATTAAAGTGTAACTGACTGGATTTCTGCATATAACCATTAAAACCACAAGAAATCAGTCTACAAGGGGTTACAAAATCTTTTTTTAATATTGTGTTTGTGCATTCATGGTGTTTTAACAATCTAATATGGCTATCCTCTGGTATTTATTGAAGGCAGTCTTAGATTTCAAATTCAGTTATTTTATCACATGCTTCCATACAGTAAAATGTATTGTTCAAAATGACAGTTATGTTTGTCTCTCTTGCAAACAGCACATTCAATCAGAACAAAATGTTATTTGCTATTTGCATATTAAACACATGTTACAACTGTATGCATAGAGATAATAAAGCCAAATTAATCATAATTTTAAAAGAATCATTAAGACTGTGATGCTATATTCATTTGTCTGGACAGACTGTGACTACGAGGTCCTTCAGTATTTATACATTCTGTATACTGAACTATATATTAATTGTCTATTCAGGTAGAACACAACTTACTTTCTTTAGTAGGCAATGGATTTTTTTCTCTGGTTTCAGTTTTTTTCAGCTTGGTCTTATCAAATGTTTCAATTTCAGCAAAATCCGGTTTGTCAGACATGATGGATCCTGACAAAGGGAAGAGAAACACACCCTTGGCTTTGTTAGCTAGTGCCATTTTACAACCTACAAAGCAGGGCATTTAAAATATCTCTAGATCACATCTTTTGGGAAGTATAACCTATTATATAAAGGTATTACATCACAAAACCTTATGAATTCATTATATCTTGAAACAGCAAAACACAACAGAGCAAAGGAAGATCTTATGCTCAAATCAAGAAACAGAGTTATGAAACAAAGAAATGTTTTTAAAATGAAATGAAAAGCAAAATGATAGCTCAGAACAACCTGGTTTTTGATAATTTCTAGAATCTCTTTGGACAATGAAGGGCAAGTCATACTCCATTGTTTGCAGTAAGATTAAAACCTCCCCGTTTCCTTTAGACATCAAAACCACAAAGTAAATGCCTGGATTAGCTACACTGAACAATTGTGGGTAACAAAAGAATGACAGATGCGTGGATGGCTTTGTTCCCCTCACCCTTCCCTGTGCTCAGCACCACGCTTCATGCAGAATGATTTCTCATTACATAAACATTCCAGCATTAAACACAATACCTTTTTCACAGGCTTTGTGCTAACTGCTGGTGATTTCTTCCAAAAGCTGTGGAACATAAATGCATCCTATGGGAGTGGTGTTGCAACCAGGAATGAATCTGACACAGACTTTACCAGCAAAAAATTGTCCTTTAAAGCCTATTGTGACAAGCTACATGACTACATGACTTTACTGCTTTTAACATTGTGATGGCACAAATGATACTAAAGCCACATGCAGTTACCTGTCCTGCTTCTCTCTCCTCCGCTGCCTTTTGACGGTCTGAGCCAGCATGGGCTTGAAAAGGGCGTGCGAATCCCTCCCCCGCACCACCACCACCACTCTCAGCCCACCTCAATTAATATTGATAAGCTTGCAGCAAGTGTACTTCAGCAAATGACAACTTATTATTTCACACAGCAGGCAGGGCATAGCTGGGGGTGGGGACCTAGGAGGAATGCCCACCTGCACAATGAAAAAGCAGAAAAAGAGAGCCACACTCTGCCTGGAATACCTCTCTCCCCATATGTCCATCTTATAAAAATAGAATGTCTACATGTTTTGAGGAAGACATTTCAGGCCAAGATAAGGGTTTCTACCTAAGGCATGTGATTTATGAATTGGCGAACATTGACCACAAGATGGTTTTATTGCTGCTATTGTATTAATTTCACTGTTTGACTAGTTATAATTGTTGTTGTTATACTGTATTTTGTATATTGTATTTTGTGAACTGTTGGGCATTGAATTGTGCCTTTTGTAAGCCGCCCTGAGTCCCCCCTAGGGGGTTGAGAAGAGCAGGGTATAAGCACTCGAAATAAATAAATAAATAAATAAATAAATAAATAAATAAATGATCCCAAGCTCTATGATATGTGAGAGACAAAGACTAATCTAGGCACTAATCAGAGCTAGAAATCTTTGGTCTCCCTCAAACTTGCACAGGGTAGCAGTAAATTGGGATGTCAAAAACATTGTATGCCTGGCAGAATGGAAAATACTTGCCTGCTTTTTAGGCCTCTTTTAATATTTATTTATATCTGCTTATATAATATTAGCTGATGTGAGTTTGGGTTGTTGTAGGTTTTTTCGGGCTATATGGCCATGGTCTAGAGGCATTCTCTCCTGATGTTTCGCCTGCATCTATGGCATTCATCCTCAGAGGTAGTGAGGTGAGGTGAGTTTATTTTTTTTTAAAGATCCAGATTACTGAGCATAAATCTATTACCAGTCAACACAGGCTACAGGAATTATCTTTCTTGCATACTTGTTCATTGGAGGAGGGCATTTAGCCCACCTGGTGAAAATGAGGATACTCTACCATTCTCTCCCACACCACTTGTGTGGTTCACAGCTGCAGCAGGGGTGGCTTATAGTCATCACTGACACCAGAGTTTTTTTGCACTATCTACTCAACACTGGGATCCATTTTCTTAAACAAAGGAGTCTGGTTGCTACCCAGTATTTGTTGTCCTCTGAAAAGCTTTAAAGCAGTGTTTCTCAACCTAGGAGTGCGGACCCCTGTGGGGGCCATGAGGGGGTTTCAGAAGGGTCACCAAAGACCACCAGAGAACACATATTTCTTAGGGTCATAGGAATCTTTTTGACAGAGAAGGCTGAAGATCTCTCCACCTGTCCCTCTTTCCATTTTGAGGAACAGACGGCAAATCCTCCCACCAAAAGCCCTCCTCCTTCTCTCTCGATGTAGGTGAACTACAACTCCAAAACTAAAGGTCAATGCTCACCAAACCCTTTCTGTATTTTCTGTTAGTCTTGAGAGTTTTGTGTGCCAAGTTCAGTTCAATTCCATTGTTGCTGGAGTTTGGAATGCTCTTTGATTGTAGGCAAACTATAAATACCACAACTACAACTTTCAAATGACAAAATCACACCCACCCACCCACCCCCCAAAAACCCCAACAGTATTCAAATTTGGGTGTATTGGGTATTTCTGCCAAATTTGGTCCTGTGAATGAAAATATATCCTGCATGTCAGATATTTACATTACGATTCATAAAAGTAGCAAAATTACCGTTATGAAGTAGCAACAAAAATAATTTTATGGCTGGGGGTCACCACAACATAAGGAACTGTATTAAGGGGTCACAGCATTATGAAGGTTGAGAACCACTGCTTTTGAGCAATATAGCCTCCAACTCAATCACTCTTAAATGCCCAACCCAATGCTGAGGAGCTCATTATTAATCTTGGTTGACAAAAGATCGACAGGCAATGAGGCAGATTTGAGGATCGCTAGAGCTGAGATTGAGTAGACTACAGAACAAGCATGACCAAAGATAATAAACCCCTCATCATGCCTAGCAAGTTAGCAAAAAAAGGCATAGTATGCCTCTAATATTGTTTTCTCAAAATGTCACTCAGCAGAGTTAAACTGAGTTGTGAGGATCCCATTGAGCTTAGGCTCAAACATATCATCAGTTGTTTGCAGACCTGTCTGTTAAGCATTTCAAGGAAAGGGTGTCAAATGAGAAATTCCATATTCACTCAGATTTCCTGAGGTTTTGTGGCTGTCCAGTCAAGAATTGGATAAGCAACCCCTTCTGGATGGGGAGGCACTCTCTTAAAGGAGCAGGTGAATAGCTTGAGAATATTCGTAGACCCAACTTTGTCACTGGATGGCTAAAGTAGATTCTGTAGCTTGACTTGGTGACAACAGCATACATTTCAATGGCTGAGAGCAGACTGCTTTTCCTTTCTATACTTTACCACCAAGAGAAAAAAGGGGCTTCTGTGGAAAGATCTTTTGAATGCATGACATAGATCTTCCTTCCCACAAAGGTTGGTCTACTAAGGTGAAGTCTCATTCTACCACCCACTTCTCCCCTTTTCTAATGTAAGGTCTCTGCTAAATGTCATCAGAATGAGATGGCACAGTCCTGAGACAATAGAATAGACTGTGTCACTTTACACTACTAATGAGGGGATGCGACTGTTCTCCTACATTTTAAAATAATCTTTCCTGACATGTTACATAAAGTGGTCTGGCTAGAACAATATTCTTAATCTGTATCAAGTTATATTTTCCAAGAAGCATTTATGCCAGTAAGCATCCAGAAATGGTATCCTTCATAGCAGTTGATGTAGAGTACTCTATGCTACATCTCCAAATTCTGCTGAATGAGTGGACCTAGTCTGAGACATTTTTTCCTTTTGTATCACTCCATCCTCTCACTGCTTTGCAAAGACAAATTCCTATAGACTGGCCTTCCAGGTGTTTTGGACTTCAGCTCCCACAATTCCTAACAGCTGGGATTTCTGGGAGTTGAAGTCCAAAACACCTGGAGGGCAGAAGTTTGCCCATGCCTGCTATAGCTTGGCAAATAGCAGAAGGAACTACCAGTATTTAACCAAATTCCATTTATGGAAATATCTGTTTGAGGGGGTGAAACTATAAGTGCAGATGGCATTTGTAATGTCTAATTTGTTATTATTTTCTATATCATTTTGCTGTTACATCAGATGCTCACTTTTCTTCAGTGGTGCTCCTGTGTAAACAAGTGAGATGACGCCTTTCCACACTCTTTTAGAAGTCAGTTGGAGTTCCTGGCTCTCACAAGGATGCTGTGCTGATAAACGTGGAGAAGAAACCTATGTGCATAATCATGAGCACACTGGGAAAAGGAGGACTCCAATAAATTCGGAAATAATACTTCCCACCTCTTTACTATGAAGTAAAGGGGAAGGGCAGGGAGGGGATTACCCTACAATTCTATTGCTTGCTGCAATCCCAATGTTACAAAAATTGAAGGAGAACTAAGCTTTCATGCCAGTATGTTACACCTGGTAAAAAAACTACCATCACATTTTGTTCTTTCAGTACACATTTCCAAGGCAGGGAGAGTTTCAAAACTACTTCTACTAACTTTCCAGAAAGGGGTGAAAGGGGAGGATCTCATCCTTCTTCCAAGTGTTTTTGACTGGACTGGATGGGAGGTATCTAACATACCTCCCATCCCTTCTCTTTATCAGCCATCCTCTAGTTTGCCCCTATGATTCTTGGTCTGACAGAAAGGTGTACATAATTTCTGGCAGGGGGATTGTTTTGACTATATCCTTCCAAAATCTAGAATGATATAAAGGATTTTTAGACCAATAAAGGATGCAAAAATGTCCAACAATTTTTTAGACCAATAAAGGATGCTTTTGAAATCTCCAGAGCTCTTCATTGAGGTTCAGATTTCACAACTATGTGTTTTGGTTTTTGGAAGAATAATTTGGTTGTTTTGTTTTACTTTCCCAGTTTACCTTCTATGAAATTGGTGTTTTTGACTGGCTGTTCCATGATAGACATACCACTGCTGTGGAAGCCAAAGCTTATAATTATAGTTCAAGTGGATGTAATGTTAGCTCCTGATTGCCCAGTGTTAATGAATATCTATTTGTTCAGCCTGAGAATGTGGACAGGATCTTTGGAGATGTGTTCTAGACCACTGGCTCATTAAACAGGCCAGAGGGGGGCTGGCTGAGTGGGTCAGGGAAGTGATTAATGCCTCTTTGCATCAAAGAAGTATTCTAGCATGTCTCAAGGGGGCCGTGGTAAGACCTCTTCTAAAGAAGCATTCCCTGGATACTGCTGTGTGACAACTATTGAACAGTTTCCAATCTTCCATTTCTGGGCAAGGTGCTAGAGTGTGTGATGGCTTCTTAACTCCAAGTATTCATGGATGATGCAAATTATCTAGATCTATTTTAGTCTGGTTTCAGACCTGGTTGTGGGACAATGACAGCTTGGTTGCCTTAGTGGATGATCTATGCAGGGAACTGGACAGGGGAAGTGTGTTCCTGCTGATTCTGCTGGACCTCTCAGTAACTTTCAATACCATCAACCATGGGATCCTTCTGGGTTACCTTTCTGAGGTGAGGCTTGGAGGTACTATTCTTCAGTGGCTCTGTGCTTTCCTGGAGAGTCAGTTCATAAGATGGTGCGGGGGGGGGGGGGGGTGTCCTGCTTCACTCCTTGGCCATTGGCCTGTGGAGTCCCGTAGGGTTCACTCCCATCCCCCATGCTATTTAACATCTACATCAAACTTTTGTACTATTAAAGTGAGTGTGCCAACTGTACCCACACAGAGGTTACATACAGGTAACATATTATTGGATATCCCTTCTGCAGCTAGCCCAATCAAATGGCCATATAG